TGTGTGTGTGTGTGTGTGTGTGTATGTGTGTGTGTATAGGGAGGGAGGTGATTGATAGACCCAGGTTCTCTCTCAGCCCACTTGGTGGCCTCAGGAAAGTTGGTTATGCCTCTAGGCTCCTATCTCCCCATTTTCACAATTTTTGTACAGCCTCTAGGAAATCAAAGGCCCCTGACAAGGGTATGTCCAGGTAGTGGGGCCCAATCAAGGTCAGCATCCTAGAGGGCCAACATTCCAATCTCTGTCGGTTCTTCCTCACAGCCTTCCAAACGTTTCTGGGCAAAGCAGATGTCTCCCGAGAGCTGGAGGAGGTACTGGCCGAGAGCCGTGTGCAGAGGAACGTCCGCCTGGTGTCCGTGCTGGAGCTGCTGAGGGCACCTTTTGTCCGCTGGCAGGTCATCACTGTCGTTATCACCATGGCCAGCTACCAGCTGTGTGGACTCAATGCAGTGAGTGTACTTCCCCACCCCACCCCAACACATGCGCGTACACACGTGCACACACACACACACACACACACACACACACACACACACACACCCCTATCAACAGAGAAACCAAGGGAGTCCAGAATGTGGGTAGCTCCAAATGTGAGACCCGCGTATCTGACTTCAAGACCCAGCTCTGTAAGCCTCTCCTGAGGCTTACGTCTGTGGAACTTGCTGGTCCTCACTTCCCATCTCTGTAGAATGGGACAGACTGGAGCAGACTTACCAAACAGCCAGCACAGTTGTCCCTTGCACTGTCACCTGCTGTCCTACTGTGTGCCCCAGGAAATAAAGTATCATGGCTCTCAATAAACAGACACAGGAAGACAAAGGGGCAGAGGACCAAAATGATTTAAACAGAAGCAGTCTTGGCGGTGTTGGCTTCATCTTACTGGAGCCAGAGCGGAGGCCTCCCTGGAGGCTCCAGGCCTCTAGCTCTCTCCAGTGTTCCAGAAGATAAAATCCCCAAATCCAAGAAGGAAGGAAACTCAGTGTGGCTGCTTCTAGGGAACTGAGGGAGATGCCTCACCTTGGGATATGGCCAGTTCTCCATCCACTAAGGGATGCAGACAGGCTTCCAGGCACACAGCACTGAGAGCATTTGAGAGAGAGAGAGAGAGAGAGAGAGAGAGAGAGAGAGAGAAGCTGTGGGGAGGATCCCCAAAGAGCCCAGATGATGGAGCGCAGGAGCTCAGCCTTATACCTACTCAGTGGGAGTCTGGCACCCCTGCTATTGTG